AGGCCCGCCTTCCCAGCACACCCAAGCTGGGGCTGTGGATCCCAGCTCTGTCCTCACTCCCTTGGGGAGTAACTTAACCTCTCCCTCAGGGCATTGTTGTGAGGAACAAAGACCCTAAGACTTGGGAGACACTCAGCACAGCACGGTGTGTGGCACCTAGTAAGTGCTCAATAAACGGGAGCTCGTAGAAAAGGCTGTATCGCGACCCACAGCCACTGTACCTCCGGTGTTCCTCACTTCCTGTAGCGCGTGCGTGTGCGCCGAGGCTCCTCAGCAATTATTGGCTGTTCGTCAGCTCCAGGCCACGCCAAGCCACAGCAGAGCCTTCAGGCAAAAGGAGAAATCGGTGATACTGCTCTTGTCTTTCTTTAAAATTCTGATATTTGGTTCATCATGGGTTTTTGCCTTAATTGTGACTTTTTTTCAAAGCTGGCATTACAATAGCGTTTGTCTTGTTGGCGGAGAGTCTGGGTGCCCCTTTCCATTGCCACCCGAGGTGAGTGCCCGTGGTCTCACCTTCGTCCCAGTCCTGTCTGGGACGTGCACTGAGGGCCAGCCTGTGCTCACAAGCATCCCTAACAGGATGATTCAAGAAAACTCAGGAGAAGAAACCGAATTCAGATACTGGAGCTCGAGTGGCCCAGAGGACGCATGAGGACAGGATCTTCCAGGCACAGGGCCTGGCCCAGAGTGGAGCTCTGGGGCGCTCATAGCTACGCCCCAGAGGAGGGGCCCAGGCCCTGGCCTGTCCCTGGTCCTGACACTGGCCTCCTGCGTGCCGCCCGTCCCTGCTCTCTGCTCCGTCTCAGCCAGAATCTTCGCTGTGGCCTGCACGTCCCATTTTCACACCCAGACCCGGCTCAGGGGTCTCAAAGCCATTTCCTCGAGCTGTGATCACTTCCCATTACCTCCCACACCTCCCCCAGGGAAATAAAACCCCGACAGCCTATGAAAAGAGAGTTTTCCCTCTTCTCTGGGACTCCCCCATCCACCATCTGACTCTGGATGCTCATCATTCAGCCCCGGGGGCCCACTCAGGTGACCAGGGGCTTCCCACAGTCAGATCTGGAGGTCAGCCGCTCCCAGCAGGCTGGGCCCACGTGCTGGCTGTGACCTGGCAGGATGGGGCAGGGGGCCTGCAGAGGCCGAGGGGGGGACCTGGTCCAGCTCTTCACCCTCCAAAGAACCTACATCACCCTACACTTCCTTCCTCAAGCCTCCAGGACCAAAGGGATGTGAGGCGAGGTTTGAACCAGGGCCTGCACCTTGGCCTTGTCCACTCAGCCTTTTCCTTCTGCCCATTTCATCACACACACACACACACAGACACACACACATAGACATATACAGACACACACACAGACACACATACATATATGGACACATAGACACACACATATACAGACAGTCACAGGTACAGACACATGCACATACAGAGACACAAACACAGACGCAGACACATATAGACGCACCACGTACAGACACACCCTGCCCCCCAGAGGAGCCTGACACCCCTGCAGAAGGCCCCAGCCACAGGACACTGCGTCTCATCTCCACGGAGATGGGGGGAGGGGAAGAGGCCCAGGGAAGTCCCGCCTCAGAGATGAAAACACCCCACGGAACGAGTGCCTCCTCTCTGAGATTTGCATGCATTATTTATCAACACCTAGGCTGCGCGTTTCTCAGAAACTAGCAAGAAAGGCCAACACGAGTGGAGAGGTTGCCGGTTCTGAAGGGAGAGCTGCCGCTAAGTGGTTCCCGAAAGCCCGGCTCCATCCCCGCCCCCCCTCCGCCGGCTCTCCCTGGTTCCACACCACCCACGCCCGGGTTTTTGGTCCCTACCGACAACCCACCGCCTGCTGCGGGGAGGAGGCCGGCCGTGAACACGAGCGAACCGGATGGAGTGAACGGGCTGCTGCTTCGGTACTCTGACCACCAGCAAGACACAATCCTTCCTAGGGCGGAAAACATGCTTCTGAAGGCTCAAAATCAGGCCCGGCTCCGCAAAGTCAGTCAAGCGGAAGGTTTGAGTATCTAGAGCAGACAACATTCACGGGGGACTGGGGGCCGGGCAGCCCCAGAGAGGAAGCTGGTCCCATCTGAGAGCGCCGAGGTCCCCACTCAGCTCTCGGGCTCCGTGGCTGGCGCGAAAGGACGAGGTCAATGGGAGGTGTGGGGCCTGCAGGGAAGCCTCCGGCTTGCTCTCCCCCAGGAACACCCGTGGAAATCTCCGGCAGGAGTCACAAGCTTTGCAGAGGTGGTGAGAGGCGACCGGGAAGACGCAAGAAAACCCCTCTCCTCCCGCGGCCCCCGGAGCACAGGGATGCCCTTCTGTGGTAGCCGATGGAGCCCCGAGGGGCTGGGCCCGCCGGGAGCGCACAGCCTCTCCTCCACGGCCGGGCAGAGCCTGGGCCGCATGCCTGCTTCCCCGTGCAGCGCCCCATCCTGAAGGCCAGCCACCTTTGCCGGGTCCTGTTTGCTCCCCAGCGTCCTGTGAAGGCCTCGGCCTCCTCTCCGGAAGAAGCAGGGAAACGGAAAGGCTGCCAGGACTCTGCCCTCGGCCTGGCCTGGGCCTCCCTGATTGCCTTTGTTTTCCTAGGCAGCCTCCTCCTCTCCATCCTGCCGCGAACGGCTCCCAACCTGCTCCTGCCGAGGCCTTTACAGAAACCAGAAAATGCTTCCCAGTCGGACACGAGTTCCCGGTCCGCAAACCCGAGAGCTCCCGTGTGCGCGTCAGGGCTAGTTTCCCCTGAGTAGCAGCTCTCAACCGCCACATTTACAGCCTGGGGTGGGGGCCTCGCCGGTGGCCGTATGATACTGCTGTCCCCTCCGTGACACTCACCCAGCCTCAGAAGGAATGTGTCCAGGTGACTAAAGGGACCCCGGGAAGGCTTGGTCCTGGAGAGTTGATCACGCACGTGACCAGCTCTCCTGTCTGACAGTTGCTGGAAATCAGGCCCAGGTGGACCCTGGAGACCTCTTGGTGGGCGTGGGGATTCCCCGTATTCAAAGCTCTGGGCTTGAGGAATAAAGTCACGCCAGCTTAGGAAGGGCCAGAATGGGCTCCAGCTTTCCTGAGGCTCCGGGCTGGTGGTCTTCTGTCCTCGCGCATTCATTCGTCTGTTCATTCGCTCGGTCAGCGGGAGTACCTGTTATCTCGCGTTCCTGCAGTCAGCTCACCGTGCGCCTGCCTGCGTTCTGGCCGCCCACGCTGTAGATGTGTTCCGCGCGGGCCCCAGGGGGTGCACACGGTGCTGGCCTCCCCACTGTGTGCAGGCTGGGGGATCGAGCGAGGGAGCTGCTGTCCGTCTCCTGGGGGCCGGGAAGGGAGGGTGCGGCAGTGTGCAGTTCGGACCACCGGCTGCTTCCTGACCGTTTTCCACCATCGACCTCCTTCCTTTGTCACCCAAGCCATGTGGCTTTGGGCATGTTTCTTAATCTCTTGGATCTTTGGCTTCCCTGTCTACAAATGTGTGACGCAGGGACCTTAGAATTCATGAACTCGCTCCCGTAGAGCTGGGCACACAGTGAATGCTGGGTTCCTTTTTCCTCTGTCTGCCTGACCTTGGGGAAGCCTCTCCCCTTCTCTGGGCCTCAGTTTCCTCACCTGAGAAAAAAAGATATGGATCCAAAGCAGTGTAAACCTGGGGCACCTGGGTGGCTCAGTCGGTTGAGCGTCCATTTGGGCTCAGGTCATGATCTCACATTTAGTGAGTTCGAGCCCCACGTCGGGCTCTGTGCTGACAGCTCAGAGCCTGGAGCCTGCTTCGGATTCCGTGTCTCCTTGTCTCTGTCTTCCCCTTCCTGCTCACGCTCTGTCTCTCTCTCCTTCAAAAATAAATAAACATTAAAAGCAGCGTAAGCCTGACCCCCCCTCAGTTCTGAAGTCTGAAGGCCTGCCTCCCTCCTCTTCCTCTTCTGGGCCAAGTTCTGCCCCCACCTCCCCAAGCTGCCAAATCTGCCCTCTCTGTCCTTGCAGGAACAGCCCATGGGCTCCCGTGCACACAGGAGAAGCCTATTGGCTGGGCCCCCTCAGTGAGGGGGCCGGCCTGGGGGTGGGCGGTGACACCCTGCTGTCCCCAAGGCATGCTCCTGTTTGTTCTGTTCAGCTCTTCAGATGGCATGTTATACAGCGCTTTCCAGAAGTGTTCAGATAGACTCACAGGTCCTTCATGGGGGCTTTGTAGGGAAGGAAAGAGCCGGTGGGCCTGGTGGCACTGGTTTGAGGCAGCTCTCCAGCACAAAGCTGCAGCTAGAGGATGCACAGGCCAGTCCCTCACATGGTGGTGAGGCGCCCCGGGGGCTCTGAGATCCTGTGTGAAATGTGCTAGAGAACCCCGCCTTTGGCATCAGCACTGGTGCAAATACAAGGGGTCAGGCCCTGGGCCAGGTGCTGGGGATGCAGAGAGGGACCAGGCAGGTGGTGGCCCTGCCCTGGGGGGTGCTTACAGCACACACACTCATGGGGGCCCAGAACGGAGTGCTTTGCAGAAACAATTGCCCTGGAATTTTCCATCTTACGCACGTAGACTGTCGTGTAGAGAGACTCTGAATCAGCACACGGCTTCCTAAGGCTGCTGTGGCAGAGGGCGGCCCCCCGCCCTGCCAGTCCAGCCGTGCACATCCCACAGGGCTGGAGCCCCTGCCGGGCAGGGCGGCTCCCATGCCTGTGCCCCTCAGCTGACATCCCGTGACCTAGAAGAGGTGGGGACCCATCCCCGCACACAGCCCAAGCCTGAGTGGGAGGGACATCAGGCGCTGGCGTCATCAGCTTGCTCCCGGCTGCTCAGCACACGGGGGGACTGTCAGTGGGTACAGGAGGGCACGCGGGTCCCCGTGGAAAAGTCCACACCGGCAGGTGCCAAGCCTCACAGGCCAGCCCCGCTGTGCATCTGAAGGTGACGCCCAGCCCCAGGTGACTGTTCTCATCTAGAGGTGCCCCGGGCTTTCTGGGAAATGTCACAGTGTGCCGGGAGCACATCGCTCTTCCCCCCAGACCCCGAAACGCACTGTCCTCATAGAAGATCTGAGGCCACACTTCCCTCACCGCATTTCCTCACCTCATATCCACTCTTGGGGCAGTTTTCGGGGCTTGGTTTTGTGCGTGCTAAGAGTGGGCAGTCACTGTCTCGGGTGGTCCTCCAGGAAGCACATCAGTTAGCCCCCAGTGACACCAGGACCGAAGGTTCCGTGCCAAAGCGGGTCCATTTCCTGCTGGGGTCGTACAGGAAGCCACTGCCCTCAGGTGCTGCTGATCTAGTCCTGAGCACCAAGTACCCGCTTCCCGAGCCGGGTCCTCAGACGTGGAGGTGGCCTCCTTGGACACTGCAGGCTGGACAAGCTGCCCTCCCTGGATGAGACGCTCACCCCGGGGAGACCCTGAGCCCTCTGGGCAGCGCTGCGACCCAAGAGCAAGCCAAGCCTTCTTGGTTTTAGTAGCAAAGACACTTTGTTCCCTCTGCACACGTGCCTCTGACCTGACCGAGCAAGAACCCGTCCATTCAGCCTCATTCAACCAACTCAGGCTTCCCTTCTGGGAAATCATTTATTTTGGGGTTTTTTGTTTGTTTGCAAATAACCTAATGAAAACTCCTTTTTTTTTCTTTCCGAAACAAAAAAGGAGACTGTAACACATGTCCCACCTACACATCTGAAATCCTCCAAGCATTTGTTTTACATACAGCGCTTCTGTCTGCACGGCACCCTGAGAGATTGCCCTGGCCACCCCCGCCTTTGCCTGCACCGCTCTGCACTTGACCGGCCCCAGGAAGAGGCAGACTGACTCTGTCCGCCATCTTTCCTGTTCATAAAGACATTTCGAGGAGGGTCTCCCAGCGCCTGTTCATCTTAAGGGCAAAGGTGAGCTCCCACTCGAGCTCGGGACTTTCACAGACAACAAAGCGATAGAGGTGAAGGACGTCTCCGGCCCTTGCTGGGAACTGCCGAAAATAGGCCTCGATCTCCCGTGTTTGGGCTTGGAGTGGACACGGGGAGAAAACGGCCCCTGGCGTGTGCTCTACTGAATGTTCCATTCCGCTGTTTGAAATAGGACCTGCATGTGCGTTGTTTTGGTCATTAGTTAACGTATCTGGGTGTGGAGAAAGCGAGAGAGCTAAATAATTACAAACACTTCAGAGATGTGTTGTTTTTTTTTTTTTTTTTTTCCCACTGACTAAGGTTAAAATGAATAGTGTTGATCCGTTGCCCAGGCAGTAGGCTTGTTAAAGGAAATGGTATTTAAAATGATTTTTGAGCCAAAGCAATTTGGCTGCTCCGAGGCGTCCTTTATCTTTTGCTTTCAAGAGGATAATAATGTTTAAAAACGAAGTCACTCATACCATTTCCTGTCGGGAAGCCAGCTCAGTGATGGGCAGCTCTTCCTCGGGTTTGTTTACTTGCTTCATGATGGAAAATGCAAACTTAATGGGCTTCCTTCTGGAGAGCCCTCGGTGTTCCGACAAAACAGAGACCGATGCTGTGGTTGAATCTGTGTCTTCCCCTGAAGTCTCTTTCCTACATTGTTGCTGTGGGACTTCCCCCCAGCTTGGTTTGAGCCTGCGAGCTAGAGGCTCATGGCCACTAGCTGGTTCCAGGGATTGAGTGGAGGGCTCTGTCTGGATGGAGCACTCTCCCATTTGGCTATGGGGCTCCCTCCCCAAAGAGAACATGGTGGGTCACCCCCACTGAAAGGTGCTAAGCAAGTCTTCTTGGGTAGGGGTATTTCCTGTGTATCACTGGATTGGGTACAGCTGGAGCATAGGCACAGCTAAGCTGACTTCGCCATGAGCTTGGGTAAAGGGAAGGAGATGGTCCAGTAGACCCGTTCTGCCCTGGGCTGGGCTGGGCAGGGCTTAAGTGGGTAGTGTGGCTTCTGAAGTCCCAGGATTCTCTGCTCAGGTGTGCACATGACCAGGTGCAGTCTGCCCGCCTGCCTCTGGCTCACAGAAGCCTAAGGCAGCTCGGGAGGCAGGAAATGGGATGGAAAGAACTTTCCACGGCAGTAAAATGGGGAGGAAAACACCTGCTCCTCGGTGTTGCCCAGCGCCTGGCACACGACAGCGGATCTATTGTTCGAAGTCATTCTCTGACCTTTGTTTTATTACTGGAAAGCATAGCCTCCTTCTCCAAGGAATGGCTGGGGAAGAGTTTGTCCTCTTGGCCACTTCCTGATCTAAGTCTGGCTACAGAAGGAGCCCGTAAAATGTAGGAATGTGATGTGAGGATGTTGTGGGGAGTCTGCGGTCTTGCTGTGTGTGCTCTTTGCTCGGCTTTGGGGTCACATGGCACCTGAATGGGGGGAGGGTTGCTGCTGAGGCCACGGCTGTGGCAGGTGGGCCAGTGGAGACACGTGGCTTCGCCCCCGTGGCTTTGCACAGCACCTACCGGCCTTTCCTTCTCTGTCTCATAGGGATCCTGGCAACCCCTAGCATCCTGAGGCTGAGTGGGGTAATTTAGGACGGCCGCTGCTCCCTTGGTGCATTTTAAACACACTTCCAAACTCTGTTCATTTTGCCTTTGATGGGGAGGTGGCCTTCTGGGTTTTTCTTTCAAGAGATGCAGATTTAATGGACTGTGATTTTTCTCCAGATCTGCTGTTTAAAAAAAAAAAAAAAAGGCAGCATTAAAAAAGCAACTCAGAATTTCTATTTACTCAGGGAAAAAAAAAAACCTGCTTGCTATTCAGGCCCTAGATTTTCCTGGGAGATTAGTGTACTTGCCTGCCAAGATGTTAGCTAAAGGAAAACACATTTGCTATAGATCAGAAATATTTATCCTTTTCTGGGCAGGAGATCCGAAGAACTTCATCTGAATGTATAGCACCTGGAAATATGAATGAATTCAATCTCCTGAGCTGTGGGCATCGTCCAGAAAGGCCAGTCACTGAGCAGGGGTGTGCAGGGGGAACAGGCAGTCTGTGGGAAGTTGAAGCCATGAGAGGGGTCGAGCAAAGCTGCTGGGCTGGGGGAGGGGTGAGGTCAAGGGTCGAGAGGCCCCAGTCCCAGATGAGAGGTGGGGGACTCAGCTAGAAGGACAGCGGTGAGGATCCCAGAGCCTGGCAGCCTTGACTGGCCAGCTTGCTTCATCCTGGGACAGAGGGCGTTGAGCCTGCCCTGCTTTGTATGTTCTTGGAGGGGGGTTGGGGGCCAAGGTTGGTAGGTGACTTGGGCCAATCCCACTCTTGCTTCTTGACAAGAGAGAAGGAACCCCAGCTTCTGTTGAGCTCCGTGCTGTCTCCCCAAAAAGGAAAGCCCCCCTCCTTCAAAGTCTTCTAAACTTACCAGATTCTTCTTTGGTTGCTGCGGAAGAGTGAGAGACATGAGCTCATCAATGATAAAAAATCAAATCATTATTTCCACCCAGACGGCAAGCCTCCTGGTGAGAGACGGGGGACAGAAGTGCGCCCACAGACTGTCAGTTAGCAAGTTTTCACCTCTGGCTCTCTCGCTCGTTGGTCCTTATGATTAGGATTCATTTGACTCCTGCAGCTGTGCTCTGGGTTCTTTGAGGGGAGGGTCAAGGTCAGGGTGTGGGGGCAGGGAGGAGCAACAAATTCCCTGTGATGTCAGAGTCCCTTCTAAGATCTTTGGTGTTTGGGACCCCGTTTTCCATTCCTAGAAGTGATTTGCCCTGACCACCAGCCAGTACCCACCCTGCTTGAGCAGAGCAGGGCTTGAGTCCAAGGCTGTAGGGCCCTGGACACGTGGCCTGTCACTCCGAGGGCCGGCAAGGTCTGGCGACAGGGCAGGGGTGGATCGTTGGCTCCTTCCAGGCAGAGAAGGATCCTCTCTGGTCTCCAGGGGCCCCTGGCCAGGCGGGGAGTAAAGATTCGAGGATCTGCGCTGGGGGGTTTCTGCTAACAAGCGTTCTGTTAACCAGAAGCCCGTACCCTTTCACACGGAGCCCCTAGATCTCTTTCAAACAGAATTGCTCCCAGAGCTTCTCAAGGATAAAGCAGTCCAGGAAAGACTGCAAATCCTGGGAATTTATAGTAGGCCTGCATGTTTTCAGTTATCTAGTTTGGTCCTGTTCAGAGGTGCCTCCTGGCTATAATTTAATCTCAGGTAGATGAAAGCTCTTTTCCTGTCCCTCCAAAAGAGGAGCGACTTCCTCCCTCTCTCGTGGGCCGGGGCCAGCTCTCTGAGACTCCCCAGGAGCCAGCGGGGCGTGGTCCGAGCAGAGCTGGCCATCCGGACCTGCGGGGACGACTCAGAGCAAACGTGTGGTCCTCGTCTTTGTTCAAGGTCGGCCTCAGACAGCTTGCCTGAATAGTCTGGGGCGTCTTTGTACTTGAAAAGCAGCCCCACGTATGGAAAGGTCCACCGGAGAGAGAAAGAGGTGTGTGTGAGCTGGTATCGGGCTCCCTGTAGAACAGGGCTGTATGCGGGACACGAGAGCTTGTGTGCGTGACTTTCTGGGTGTGGAGCAGCCTGCAGACAGGAGCTCTGAGTGGAGGTGAGGGCATGGGTGTGAGTGTGTCAGCCCCCAAGAGTGCACGGAAGGAAGGTGTGGCATACGTCAACTGGGACCGTGAGCCCAGCACAGCCTGCACTGGCTGCTGCATTTGGTTCCACGTACGTTGACACACGTGTCCGGTCTCCCTGCAGCAGACAAGGCGGATGTGGGCTCAGTGATGCAACACCCACTTGATACCCCAGTGTTGGCCACCCGGCTGAGTGTCACAGCCGCCGCAACATTTCCCTGGAGACCGGCCACCAGCGTCTCGTTCGTCTAGTATCAGCCCTAATTAAAAAGCAGTGGCTCGGGGAGCCTGGCTGGCTCAGTCGATTATGCATCCAACTCTTGGTTACAGTTCAGGTCATGATCTCACGGTTCGTGGGATCGAGCCCCGCGTCAGGCTCCACGCTAAGCACAGACCTGCTTGGGATTCTCTCTCTCCGCCCCTCCCCTACTCGCTCTATCTCACTCTCCATCAAAATAAAGAAATAAACACTAAAAAAAAAAAAAAAAAAAAAGTAGGTGGCTCCGAAAATAAAGGTGGAGAGAGAGAATGGCATCCTCTCCCCAACCTGTCGTCTCCTTTAGAGGAAAATGCTGGGGGCGGGAGGCGGGGCGGTGGTCATGCCATCCATCCTTCGGCCTCCCAGAGCCTGTGGTCCAGCTTTCCCACGAGCATGCTGACCCCGGCCCCACCTCCCAAGGCTGCTGGTCGCCGACATGGCCAGGTTGGTGCCCTCAATGTGGATGCAGTCCAGGACTCTCCATGCTGGGGATCTGCAGAAACAGTCTCTTCCTGGGTACGGCCTGAGGAGAGAAGTCATACTGGGCACCACCCCCGGGGCATCTAGGGCCAGGACACATAGCCAAGCCCACCAAGGCCACTCTCCTTCATTGCACTGAACAGTAAATGCATTGCCTAAGGTATTCATAAAGAAGAGTGCGGCAGGCTTGCCCGAGGCAACTCACCTGAAGGGCTCCCCGTAGGGCTTATCTGGCTGCAGTAGCTGCTGGGGCCCCTGCCCCCTGGAGGATGGAGCCCCTTCAGGCTGCACTCCCCACCCCATCAGCCCTGATGCTGGCCATGGGCGCTGTCCTGTCGTTGAGCGATGTCTGGAGCTGGGAGCCACCACCCCACTGCTTGTCAACAGTGCACCCAGGGACAAGAGCCCAGCCCCGTCCGCCCCGATTCTGAACAATTACTCTGCCCCTCACTCATCAGGGAAGCTCAGACGGTCATAGTCCATCCCTCAGAGTGAGAAGGACAGCCCTGTCCCTCCATGACCGTCCACGGTGCCGTGCCCACCGATAACCTTCTGCGGGTTCACCCCGGCACGTTGCTGGTATGATGCTGGAGCCGTCACCTCCCACCTCGTGCGGGCCTGCCATTCACACTTCTATTTCGTGAACATCATCATGTGCGTTTTCTCAAGGGGCTTATCTCTCTGGGGACACAACCACGCAAAGTCAGAGCCCAGAAAGGAAATATGTTCCGCTCATTATTGGGGGTATACTTACACTGAACGTGGAATTTCTATCTGAGATTCCGCCTTAGCTGGTGTCATGGTCTTGTCTGGGAAGCTCTCTGCTGTGGGCTCTGCTTTTGTGCCTCTTCTTGACTTTCCATCTGTTTCGGCACTGAGTACGAGTTTGGCGATTATGTGATGGGTGAACACCCGGGAGAACCCAAATGCCTCAGCTGCCCGTAGCTCCGTGGGGGTCCCCGTGTCCTGCAGAATCTTCCCTGAGCCCCTCGGCCTCCAGCTCAGGGCCTCCTGTGCTGGCAGCCAGCCTGCGCCTCTGGAGGTTGCAGAGGGGGCTGGGAGGAAGCCAAGTGATCCCAAGCCCCTGGGGAGGAGACTGCCAGCGAGGCGGCCCGGTGGGTTTCAGCTCTGAGTGAGGACACGGGGAGCCACAGTGCAGAGACTGCAGGTTACTAGGACAAGTCCAAGGTCAATAGAAGCCTCAGAGGGAGGCTGCTAGGATTCACACAGCAGTCTCCATCCTCCCCATTGCCAGATGGAAGGAAAAAGCCTGGCCCCTAGAGCCCTAGCTCTCGGCTTCCCTCTGGCCCCCAGCCAAGGACAAGCCCAAGCCTGCCTCTGTGCAAAGAAGTGGCCTTTGAGAAAGTGTGTCCTCTGCCCTGGGAAGGAACATTTGCAGTCAAGTCTGTGCATGGAATTTTTATTCCTCTAATACAGCCTGGGCAGGATTTAGTACACAAGTTCTCCAGAGGAAATGCATTCAATAAAAATTTGATGGGCTCCGGCAGCTCAGCAGAATCTCCTTACGAATTCCAAGTGTTTGTTTGGTCCCTGGCTTAGGCAAGAGCCCCGCTACGGCCTGCAAATGGCCTCTTTAGATGGGGGCCCTTGGAGCAGGACATGCCCCCAGTGCCTTGCTTCCCCAGTCTCTCTGAGAAAGAGCTAAGCCCCAGGGCTCTGGGAGCTCAGGGAATTGCTCACCAGGAGATGAGGGCCTTGGACACTCGCTGGGGGCCTGATGCAGATGGGAGCCTCAAGTCGGTTAAGGAATAGAAATGAATTGCTGCGAATAGTTGGGGGAGTGTAGTAACTGTTCATTTATTGTCTTCTGACACTTCTCATGGCTCAGCTGAAGGCTAAAGGGCTGAAGACAGGTGCGTGTGGTCCCTGCCCGGGTGTCCCGTGGGAAATGTGTGCTGGAAGCCAAGCTTGCTGAGGGCGACATGGGGTTCGACCCACCTCTGTATTCTCGGCTCTTAGCCCAGGGCCTGGCACAGAGGGTGAGGCCAGCGAGTGCCAGGTGGCGTTGGAGAGAGGTCGGCCGCACGGTGGGCCCTCAGAGATGGGGGAGCCTGCTGGTCACCCTCTAGAAAACTCCAGCCACAACCCCGTACACCTTCGTCCTGGCGAAACGGGGCCGGGTCACTGGAAAAGTGCCCCCAGGCTCAGCAGCCACTGCAGGGACCAGAGCAAACGCCCACGGCGCGGAGGGCCTTCCTGCCTGGGCCTCTGCTGCAGAAAATGTAGCTGGAGACGGGGAAATAGCAAACCAGAGAGTGTGCTTGCAAAGTGGCTCTCAGGCCTCGGTGCAGAGTGATTCCCCTGCAGTGCCCAGCGTCGCGTCCTGGAGAATACAACCAGCCCAGGTAGCGGCCAGGAGGGTTGGCCTTCGTGTGCCCTTGGCCCAGCCCCGGCCGCCGCCCTCACCCACGGCTCCCAGAGGGCGGACCCTGGGGGCAGCTCGTGGCAAGGACACAGAAGTAGGGTCTAATTTCAGATCCGGCATTTACAGGGCAGTTCCCGGCAAAGAACTTGACTCCCCTTAGCCCATCTACACATCTGTGCACATCCCAGGGGACCACATTTGCCAAGACTTAGCTCAGAGACCTGTTTTTAAGCCATACTGGATGGTAAGCAGAACCCAAATCCATAGGCCGTCCCTGGCTTTCCTTCTGGTTCTGGGGAGCCATGCCAGCTTTTCTTCTCGTGGTGGTTTCCCCTCTCTCCCAGGGTCCCATGTGGCTCCCGGTCACTTAGGCATGCAGCCATCAGAAGGCGGGGGAGGCTCGCCCTCCCGTCTGCAGTTTGAATCACCCCGGCAACACCTTCATCCTCGTGCCCTGCAGATGTGACACATCCAGGCCTTTTCAGGCTCCATCCCCAAAGCCGCCTCCGTCTGCTCCTCTTTGTGTCTGGGGCGCAGAGCCGTGGAGGGGGCAGTCGTGTTAGCTGTGGCAGGAAGGGCTGAGAGGAGGCCGGAGCCTGGGGGCCCATGAAGGAAAACACCAGGTGACGTGATGGTGACATGGGAGGGAGCTGCCTGACCCCAGAGGGCTTGAGGATTTCCAGGCACAGCCAGAGGGGGTCTCCTGGGCAGAAGAGGACTGTCCACACTGCCCATGTCAGTCATGACCGCTTAACCTGAACCCGGAGGAAGGAGCCCGTGTCCCCACCCAGACTTCGGGTAGCAACATGCGCTGCTGCCGGGGCCCCACGCACGGGGACACCAGCACGGGTGGAGTGAGGGGGTCCACTTCCCGGGGTCCGCAGGGCTCTGCTGCCCAGGAGGCCTCAGCTGAAGTAGGATCCTGTGGCCACAGCTTCTCTGGCCCGAGGAACCCCCGGGTGTAGCTCCTGGACACCCAAGTGCAGGGGGTACACCGCTTCCAGCCCTCCTGCCCCCTGTTACCCGGGCTTGACCTCCACCTTCACTGCTGCACGGGGCTCTGGCTTCCCTCTGGCGTCCAGGTAACGAGATGAGCTGGTCAGACCTGGGTCAGGGAGAAAGGGGACCCAGATCGGACCGCTCAGCCTCCGTCAGACAGTACGGGCCCCACAGGCCCCTGCGTGCAGTTTCCTTCCGAAATTTACCTGGTCTCTCTGCTAACTAACTCCAGCATCCAGACCCTCGGGCTCCCAGAAGTGTTGGCAAGACAACCTGGGAATGTCCTTGGGGCCACAGAGGGGGGACCCCACAGCTTGCCAAGCTACTCCCTGCCCTTCCCAGCCTGGGGCCAGTTCCGTCCACCAGGCCCCTACCTACATCCATTCCTGGGGGTCCAAATAGGCCGGAGGCATGTCCCAGTCCCTCTGCCATGGTGCTCAGGGTCCCCTGGGTCGGCAGGAGGCAGGGTACGTGTAAGGTGGTGACGGGCATGTGAAGGGCAGCAGTGAGTGCTGGTTGAGGTCCTGCCAGGCACACCAGGCCCTGTGGGCACTTCCCCTGCATGACCCCCTCTGACCCTCCCCACCCGGTGAGGATTCTCAGGTGACAGGATCTGCCAGCCGCCTGGCTAGCCTCCATGCTCCAGAGTAGAGGAGGGGCGGGCGGGCAGGGCCAGGTCGGGTCATGTGGGGGGAGGGGGGAAGGAGGAAAACCACAGAAGAGAAAACTCCATTAGACGCCTGTGGCCTCCCTGGCCTTCATGGTCAGGATTTGGGGCAGGAATGGAATGAACGTTCCCGAAACCAAAGACAATACTCCCAGGGCTTTGAGGGAGAGTGGGGGTGGGGGCCGAGTCCCTGGTGAATAGGGTCCTGAGCCAGCATCAGCCTGCCCTGAGTGCCCGGCTCCCCACTGGGGTCCCCGAGACACACACTCACACCGGCTCACCCTACGCACGCACACGCGCACAGACACGCACACGCCCACCCCCGCGGTCACATGCTACTCCCACACCTGCACGCATTGCCTTTCACACTCGCTCTTGTGTGCGCACACACAGTCTCACACTTACACACGCGCGTTTTAGTTGCCTTCGCACTCACATCCACACACCCATTGCCTTCCACATGCCCGTGCACACACTCACAAGCGCCCCCAAGCCCTCAGGCCCCTGCTCTCCTGAGCAGCTCCTGCACAGTGCCCGAGGGCCCGGCTCTGGGTCTGGCGAAGCCAGTGGCTCCTCTAAGCAGCACTTAGCTCTACTTCCTTTTGCTCTCTCCTTTGGCGCCTGGAAAACCCCAAACATTCCCACGAGGGAAAACAGGCGCTTTATTACCTCGCAGGCTCAGAACACCGCATCGCAGTAATTGAAAGTGGCTTGACTCAAATTGCATTTTCTGAGGAGCCGTGAGAGACAGGCATGCGGGAGGGAGGGAGGTGGGGGTGGAGGGCTGCTTGGAAGGCTGGCACCGAGTGGGCACGGAGTTCTGCGCCCGGGCCCCAAAGGCCTCCCCCAGGCCACCACCCCCACACCAGGCCAGAGCGCACCCCACAAATGGGATCCAAGCTCTGGGAGGGCAGACACGCCTGCCGCCTGCACCGGCCTCCAAACAAGCCTCACCCTGGGCTTGAGGGCGAGGCTGTGATCTCCCTGCAGGTCACCCGATGGCACCCAGCAGCCATTCGGCAAGAGTTTGTTGACCGAGTGGCCCCCTAGACCCCCGCGGACCCCTGTCCTGGCCGTGGTACACCCTGGTGGGTGCCAGCAGCGGGGAGAGGGCCCTCCTTCTCTGTGAGTCCTCTGGAAGCGGGGATGGGGGCTGCTGTGGTCTGAAAAAGCGTCCGCAAGGCGTCCGTGACTTTGACTCGCTGTTCGTCGTTATGGAGACTTCAAAATTGCACGTGGCATTTAAGAAGAATAGGCCAAAGGGGCTTAACATGAGTGGGAAATGCTGCTTCAATGCCTCTATTCATCCACAAGCATGACTCCCCACAAAACCTACACTCCCTGAGTCATCCGCGTGTCCCCGGCAGCCAGCACTGAGCCCAGCTCGTGGCAGATGCTTGCCAAATGGAATTAATGAATGAGGAAGGAAGGAAGGAAGGTTGGGAGGTTGGGAGGGAGAGTCCCAGGACCCGAGGGAGTAGGAATGTCAGAGAACATCCATCCCCAGCCCTTGGGGAAGGGAGGAGGCTGCCACAGTGTGGTGATCCCCAGGGCCCCAGTCTCTATCCTGATTTCTGCACCGTGCTCAGCCAATGAGTAAGAAAGCGAGGGCCCTTCCAAAGGATCAGCAGAGTCCTGGAAAACATGTGGGTAGACGGCCTTGGCCTGAGACAGGAGCCAAGTGCTGGCTGGGATTGGGGGGGGTGGGGCGGGGACCAAGCAGGACTGTCCTTTACTCGGCCCATCACAGGCTCCTGGATGTCCTGCTGCGGGGTCCTCCCAGGCAGGACAGAGGAGAGAGGCCTGCGAGTGAGTCTTGTCCAGGGGCTGCTGAGCCCAGCTGAATGGGTGACCCCACAACCATTTAGTGATAAACTCATGCCTCTGGTGAGCAAGCAGTTTACTCCCCGTAGCACTATTTCAGTTTACATGGAAGTGCATTGGAACCTTCTTACACACACGTCTGTTCCACCAAACCAAATGGGGGGCACTTTCTTCTCCCCGTTCCGCTCTATCCAGGCCTCATGCTAAAACTCGGCCGGGAGACAAACAGAGTGGCATCCGGCCAGAGGACAGGGCCACACACCTCCTCTGGGGCTGGGTGTCACTCGGGGTGGCGGGGGGGGGGGGGGCACCAGGATTCAGGGTAGAGACCAAACATTGTGACAGCGATTTGATTTCTGAACCACTGGCCTCAACAGACTTTATAGTCTGCGGACACTTGTACCATTTTTTCTCCTCCTGGTTTACTCTGTTTCTGGATTATTGTCTGTAAGTTTCAAAATGGCCCAGGATCCCTGAGTGGTTTATAAATTAGGGCCGTATCCTGGGAGCACCCAGTAGTGCTGATATATTTTAGGTGGTGTCAGAGTTTCTATTATAAACCCCATTTCTCAGAGGTTTACAACTTGGCCATAAAAATGCACAGAGGCCGGAGGCTGATGCCGCCGCCTGAGTCCCTCCCAGGTCCTCAGCAGGGACATCCAGCAGGTGGGCCACAGAACAAAGGCTGGGGTGGGAGGGCTCCACACCCGCAGCATGAAGGGATGTGAAGACGGGGCCTCCCTCCTGCTGGCCCACAAGCTGTGAGCTCCATCCAAACAGCCTCACAGAAAGGAATGTCACAAGCTAGCAAGGCCAGTCCTGAGGGCAGGAGGGCCACCGATGGGGAAAAACGTGTGTCTGCCGGTGAGTCTCTCTTACAGTCTCTGACTGTCCTTCTTAGGTCACTCTGCCCCTCTGGGGCCATTGGCTTCCCTTTCAGCAAGCCCACTGACCCAGAGACCTGATACATACCTTTCCGACCGATTTCCACACTAGGAAGCGTCTCCACGCTCCGTACCTTAGGGCTTGATGTGACGCTCCCGTTTTCAATAAAGCGCTGGTGATCGGGTCGCCTGTTTTGGAGAGCGGAGGAATAAAGACCGGCAGTTCTTAGGCCCAGGGAGCTTGTGAAAGAATGCCAGCGCCTGCTCCCCACCCCAGGAATTGATTGGCTGGGTATGGGGCTGCCCAAACAGTCAACAGTCCTCAGGCCAAGTCCCAGGCTGGTGTCAGGGAAAGGCCCAGCCCTGGAGTCAGACGCCGAAAGTCTGATGATGTTTCCACAAGCCTCTATCCCCAGAACCTGGCCAGGCCCCTTCTTGTCACTGGGGCCCTGGGCACCTGGGACGTATACTGAGACTGGGAGCCCGGCGGCTGTCCCAGTCCCAGAGCACAGCTTCACAGAGGGAGCCCCTTCTAAACCTTCTCCCCAGAGCCACAGGGACAGAGCCCAGGCTGCAGGGAGCCCCTCTTGTTTTCTCCAATTTCTTCTGAGGCTCTGGGATTTCTGGCCCAGACTTGGGAGTCACAGGCTTGCCTGGGTAAGCAGAACCACATCCCAGGGTTGCCCAGCTCTGGGCCCGGCTGCTACGCAGGGACTCCTGCCTGCAAAGAGCCAAGGTCTTTCCTTGGTGGTATGCCAGCTGTCCACCCATGAGCACGCTTTTCATTCATTCATTCACTCAAAAACGCTCACTGAGCACCTGTTGCCTGTGATTGCTGTCCTGGGGCATCTGGAATGTGCTGGAGACCACAGCAGACCCAGGGCCCTGCCCTCCTGGGCTTAACCTCCAAGCAAGGGAGAGGACACAAAACAATAGACATGATAAGTGAATTAAATTATGTAGCTAGCCAGTGCTGTGGGAAAGAAACAGCAACGTGGAGTAAGGAAGCGACGAGGGGTGTCCGGAAGGAAGACACGTTGTGAGGTCCCGTGGGTGGCGAGGACAGAGAGTCAGTCAGCTTTGCTGAAGTGCTGCTGTGTGACAAACATCCCGGGAGTCTCTGGGGCTGGCAGGAACAGATGCTCATTCCTCACTTCCATCATAGTGGCTGTGGTGGCTCCGCCCGGGCTGAGGGGCATGTCCTGTGGCCCTTCCTCTGGGCCCTGGTCCAAGTGGGGGCTTACTGGGGAGTCACGTGTGCCCCTGCTGCACTGGCCAGAGCAAGTCCCACGGCAGGGATGACAGCAGTGGAGGGGGAAATGGAGAGGGGAGAGGGGGATTTTTGCTGAACAAAAGTGCAATCTCCCCATTGCAACATGACAACGAGCCACTCAGGGGAGGCTTCTCCACGTGAACAAAACCTGGGAGGCCAGGAGGGAGGGGCCAGCGGACACGGGAAGAGCACGCAGGAAAAGGGAACAGACTGTGCCAAAGCCTCAAGGGTGCCTGGCCTCTTCATGGCAGTGAGCAGCACCCCAGGGTGGAAGGAAGCTTCTAGAAGGGAAGATGGTGGCAGCCCCGTGAGCCCCATTGCTGGGAGAGATGGGACTACTGTGGGCTTTGAGTGACTTACACTCTAACACCACCCACTGGTCTCTTCATCAGAGGGAGACTGGGGGACAAGGATGTGGACACAGGAAGCCAGGTCAGGGGCACTTTCAATGACCCAAGCGTGAGAAAATGACAGTCTGAGGTGGAGCTGTGGGGTAGAGAGAAGGGGCCAGATTCCAGACGGATTCTGAGGCGGAGCCATGGGGCCCACTGGCCAACCAGATGTGGGGTTAGAGATGGAGAAGCTTCCAGCTGCGTGTAGGGGTCTTGCCAGCCATGATGGAGGCTGTGAGGGCCAGGGGTGCCGCTAGGACGCAAGGTGCAGAAGCCCGTAGTCGTGTGTATTAGCTCCCTGGGCCTGCTGTCACAGAACCACAGACTGGTCGGCCGGAACAATGGGGAGTTGTACCCTCACAGTGCTGGAAGCTGGCCACCAAGATGGAGGTGACCGTGGGGCTGGTTCCACCTGCGGGCTGTGAGGGAGAGACTGCTCCGGGCGTCTCTCTAGCTTCTGGTGCTTCGCTGACCATCTCTGGTGTCCCTCGGCTTGTGAAAGATCACCTCGACCTCCGTCCCCATCTTCCCTGGCCTTCTCCTTGCGTGCATCCGTGCCCACATTTCTCCTTTTATGAAGACACATCGGGTCAGGGGCCCATCCTAGTCTAGTATGACTTCATCTTCACTCAGTCAGTGACCTCTGCAGTAACCCTATTTCCTAATAAGGTCATGCCGTGGGCTGAATGATGGGGTCTCCCCCAAATTCCTATATTGAAGCCCTAATGTGATGGTATTTGGAGGTGGGGCCGCCGGGGGGGGGGTAATTAGGGTTCGATGATGTCAGGAGGGTAGGCCCCCATGATGGGATTAGTGCCCTTAGAAGAAGAGGAAGAGCCACAAGATCTCTCTCCACCATGTGGGGTCCTCACCAGGAACCCGATTTTGCCAGCCCCCACCTCGGACACCCAGCTTCCAGAACTGTGAGAAATGCACGTCTGCTCCTTAGGCCCCCAGCCTGCGGTATGTTGTTACAGCAGCCTGAGCTACCAAGTGAGTCCCATCCTGAAGTACTGGTGACTTTGACATATGGTTTGGGGGGTGGGGCACATCCAAATGAGTCACATCTGGCTCCCCTCCCCAGGCCTGGGGGGGCCTCTTCCCAGCTCCCTGGGCAAGGGAGGGGGCTTGGGAATCTCCTTGGACTGGACGCTCACTCTTCAAGCCAGCCCCCAGCCCCCAGTCCCCAGTCCCCGGAAGGAGCACCACAGGCAGGCGGGCGGCTCTGGAAAGGACGTGCACCGGGTAGAGGCCGCTATTCTCCTGTTGTTTCGTTCGGCACTGAACACCTGCTGTGTGCCTTGCACCCCGGAGAATTTGAGGGTGCATCAGAGAGAGCCCTAGGGTCTAGGGAAAGGCTGGAGGGTGGCCGCTGGAAAGACTTTGAAGGACAGACGGCTTGTGGGGCAGGGCAAAGGGGAAAAGAGGATGGGGGTAAAAAAAAGGGCCCTTTGCTTAGAAACAAGGGTTTGGGGAGCACAGGTGGGCAGAGCCCTGGTGCACAAGCTGCATGGTGCAGCCCCCAGGGGGCAAAGAGCTGTCACCAGAGACGGGGCTGCAAAGGGACACTAGGTAGAAGGCAGCCGTTGTCCCACAGGGGCACCCACGTGCAGATCCAACAGGGTCTGGGGCTGAGTCCTGGGGCTTCTGGAGCTGTTCCACGCGGGACTCTGGGGTTCACCAGTTGAGGTGCACGACTCAGATCCAAGACAATCTTGGAGGAAACGCCAAAAGACATGACGTCTGTTGCTTTCTGCTTGGCTTGGAGAGCCCAGACGGGTCCTCTTGGGGTCCCTGCACCAGAGACCGCGTCTCCTATGGCATCACTCACAGGTGTTTTGTATCTAGCTCTGCGGTTCCTTGCTCTTGCGAGGAGGGATTCCTTACGACATTAGAGAAAGCAGGCCATGAGAAGGAGCAGCATCTAAAGCACAGACTGTGACACCAGGAGGCCCGAGCTTCAGCTGGGCACTGCCGCTTTCCTGCTGCGTGACTTTGGGTGAGACACTTAGCCTCTCTGTGCCGCCGTGTCCTCCTGGGTTACATATGTGAGCACAGAGCACAGAACCGGGCACCTATCTCCAGGGCTCCGACGGGGCTCTGCGCTCCAGGGCCCTTGCCGGCAGTTCATACTGGCCCTTAGCAAGGGTGACTTCTGTGTGCCCAGTTCCACCCCAACCAACTCATCTTTTTTTTTCTTTTTTCTTTATCTTGAGAGAGTACACAAGTCGGGGAGGGGCAGAGAGAGAGGGAGAGAGAATCCCAAGAAGGCTCCATGCTGCTATCACAGAGCCCGATGCGGGGCTTGATCTCACGAACCGTGAGATCATGACATGACCTGAGCCAAAACCGAGAGTCAGACACTTAACCCACTTGAGCCACCCAGGCACGCCCCGCCCCTCAGCCAGCTCATTCTGAAGTGAGAGGCACGAGTGGGTGACAAGGAACTGCCAAGTGACTCCTCCTTCACCCCCTGCCCAGTTGCCCCTCGTGGGAACCTCAGACAGGCCTCGCTTCACTTTTGCCCGGGATCTACAGGTCTGCTAAGTGACCCCAGGCTCTATTCCTTGAGACTTAACGGGCCCAGAGAGCAGCAGGTCGGAGGAGCACAGACCCCAACTCACTGTCTGCCTGATCCCAGCCTCTGGGCGGGAACAGCCCGCGTGGAGAGATGGCGAGGCCCGGAGGCTCAGACCCAGGGGCTCAGCCTCCCCATGGGAGCCCCTGCCTCTAGAGGCCTGGAAAACCCCCTCGCTCTGCCTCCCGGTACACAGGGAGTGTGTCTGCCACTTAACACAGAGTTGCCGTCGTCCCCACAGAGGGGTTTTGTTTGGATCTTAAAACACTTGCTCAAATTAATGACCAAAAATGTCAGATGTGTCCACAGCTAATTATTCATTAGATGCTTAATTAGTGTGGGATGATCATGACATTTTAATGTTATTAATTTTTATACTGTAATAGGATTTAAATTGTTCTGCTGTCCTGAAACCTCCTGTTAGCGTCACCCTGGAATTGGGGGCTGGGAAGAGGTAGGGGCCGTGAGGGCAGCCAGTGGTGGCCAGTGGTGCCCTGGGCAGCATCCAGAGCCCGCATACACCTCTTCGGGCCTTGGAGAAGCTTCCTCCGGTCTGCAGCACAGCCTCTCCAGAGCTGGATCCTTCTGATGGTCGGGCTGGCAGTGGAAGCTGCTGGAATGGGGAGAAAGGCTAAACCAGATGGCTCCCCAATGCTCCTTCCTGCTCACATGTTTCCAGAGCCTGTGTTCCTCCTTCCGTCACCCTGAGACAGAAGGGGATCCAGGGAGAGGGAAAGGGACCAAGGCTGTCTCACCCCCAGGGGCAGCAGAGGACCCGTCGGTCCTCAGTCGGTCACAGACCTGCTGCCATCCTCCACGGTCCAGAGAATGGGACCCACTTGAAGGAGATGTTGTGTGTTTCAGACAAATTAAAAGAGGCCCTCTCTGCCGCTGAAGAGCGTCCCTGTGCGGGACACTCAGTGGTCTCTTCTCGGTAGCGGGGACACGGCTCTACTATTAGCTTTTAATTACGAAAATTATCTGTGCCCGTGCTTTAAAATCCAACAATGGGAGGGCCGCCTGGGTGGCTCAGTCAGTTGAGTCTCTGACTTTTTTTTTTTTTTAATTTTTTAACATTTTATTTATTTTTGAGACAGGGAGAGACAGAGCATGAACAGGGGAGGGTCAGAGAGAGGGAGACACAGAATCTGAAACAGGCTCCGGGCTCTGAGCTGTCAGCACAGAGCCCGACGCGCGGCTCGAACTCACGGACCGCGAGATCATGACCTGAGCCGAAGCCGGCCGCTTAACCGACTGAGCCACCCAGGCGCCCCGAGTCTCTGACTTTTGATTTTGACTCAGGTCATGATCCCAGGGTTGTGGGATCGAGCCCCATGTCAGGCTCCATACTGAGCATGGAACTGCTTAAGATTCTCTCTCTCCCTTTGCACAACACCCCCCACACATGCGCGCTCTCTCTCTCTCTCTCTAAAAGAAAAAGTAAATTAATTAATTACTTTTTAAAAATCCAACAAAGTTAAAGTAAAAAACTAATAGAAATCATATGAAATCCCACCGTGTGGGATGGTGGTATAATAAATCATAATATTTTTCACACATGAACTTGCAAGCTCTTTTCAGGCACATAACTGTGTGGACTTTTACGAGAAATATACTCGTATTATATCGTGCTGTCTTGTCATCTGCTCTGTCCCCCCACTAAACAACATCTCGTGAGCATCTTGTCAGGCTAATAATGGATACAGATCTGCATGAAACTTTTTAGTGGCCATGTTATATACCAATCCACAAATACGCCATGATTTCTTTAACGGGTCTCTGGCAGTGGGCCATTTCATTATATGCAATCATTTGTAATTTCTCAAATGTAACTACCAGGGCTCCTACGAGAATGCTTTCTCTGTTGGTCTGGCTGTACCCTCG